TTACCAGAATTACATTTGGTAAGCACAGCTGTAAAGGTGGCCACCGTCCACCCATCAGGTGACTCTAGAGAAAGGATGACAGTCTTCTCTGGCAGCACCCAGGCTCCACACAGGGCCACGGGGACCAGCCAACAGGGAGTTTCAGGCAGTCACTAATATGAGAACAAATTCATTCTCCTTTGGTTTGAAAAAGTATCTCAGTATACTTAAGGGTTAGTCTAGGATCATTCCAAGAAATGGGAACACTGAGACTTGCTTCCGCCACTGCACATTTCCTCCGTAAAGAGTTACCCAGAGAGAGGAAGCCCCTGGGAATGAAAATGTGCCTAGGTAACATGTATCTGGCTGGTGGGGAGGGTGTGCTGCACACCCACACATGCCCCACAGAGTGTGTGTGGACCTTAGAGAACAACCGCCAAGAATCATTTTCTCCTTCCGCAATTCGGGCTCTAGAGATCAAGCTCTGGACTTTGGTTAGGAGCATATACCTCTATCCCCTGAACCCTCTCACCAGCCCAAGGCTATATTTTTCAAAAAGAACTCTGACTACTGAAAAAACAAACAAACAAACAAAAACCAGAAACTGAGAAGTATTTTTCTTTGAGAAACTGAAACTAATAATGTTTCTTTCAAAAATCATCGTAAATATCAGTGACATCAACATTATAAGCCTATAACAAGCAGTGACATGATCTCTCTATTAGAATCTGTTATCCCAGTGGTAGGGTATTTGCCTGGCATGTCTAAGGTCATGAGTTTGATCCCCACCAAATACACACAAGGGCAAAAGTGAGTACTTGCTGATAAACTCTGAAAGTAAAAGTGAATGAACTGAAGAAGCTTTATAACAAAAGCGTAAACATAAATGGAGACCTCGTTCCCAACTCATGTGTATGTCCATGTGTGCACAGCACAGTGCCCTGTCCTTAAGAGGAGAGCATTGCAACCTTCTGGAGGAGACAGCTCAGCACAGGCCAAGTGAATGCAGCCTTACACGTTCGGCACCAGTGCCTGCCTTTTAAACCTCTTTTGTGCATAGTACCCCTCACAGGCTAGCAGTGATCACATAGCTGATTTGCCATTACTCAAGATTTACCACATGTGGTAAGATAAAGCAAATGAGGAATTGTGCTGTTGTTCCTGGAACCTTTGATTGGCAGCCTGCCAGAAAGGAGACACGGCTGTAAGATAAAAGCCTGGTGGGTCTAAGCTGGAATGGAAAGACTCAGTTTGAACCTCATGATGATCTTATTTATAGACAGCACACACATAGTATAAGTTGTTTATAGTCTACTTCTGCCCACGCTAAAGGCCAAGAAACAAAAACCCAACCTTGCAATAATGCATGCCATAGTGACATGGTTATGCTCTATCAGCAACTGGCAGAATCAAAGCTGTCGGGAGATAAGAGCTGAAGAACGGACAATACTAGGAAGGAGGAAAGCCATCCATGGCTTCTACTGAGCATCAAAGCAAAGCAGATGAAGCCAATTTACTGAGGTTCCCACAGGCTAAAAGACACTCAGAGCGTAAGTTATGCTTTGTGATAAACTGAATTACTAAAATACAGAGACACTTAACTGTGAGTATGTAAATATTAGAAATTACAAACATGCAGGCCAGTTCAGATGATGCCAAGAAACTTCTGCTTCAGAACCAGTCAGTGAGAGGCTGGTGCTGTCTGCTCTCGCTGGTAACCAAATGAGGGCAAGTTTCTGTCTATAAAACACACCAGCAATGAAAAGATAGGCTAAAACACCACCGTTGTGCAACGCTAATTAGCTCTTAATGTTACCATTCATGGTTTCTACCATAAAAGTAGAAAACTGTAAGGTATACTTCCCTTACTAGTATCGCATGATGCTCTTAGAAAAGAAAGAAATACTAATTGTATCTGGATCCAGGCAGTCTCAATGCCTGAAAACCAACATAGAAGGAAAAACATAAAGCAAAGTTAATTAAACTAGCTGGATGGTAGAAAACGCACGTAGCTACATCTCTTCAATGAGAAGTGGTGCAGAGAAACAGCTGTATGTGTACATACATACACAGGAAATACATCACTCCGTTATAAGGCATGGACCATATGCTACTCCTGATTTGAACTACTAATACCTAATACACACACACACACACACACACACACACACACACACACACGATAACTGTAAACCACTACAAGTCAAGAACACACATAAGAGTGTGAAGGAACTGTTTACAGTTCCACATAGGATGTGGGGTTTTTCCTGTGTCTTTTAAAAAACACACAGTATTTAAAGATGAAGTACGATGAAGTCTGCAGTTTGCTTTTAAAATAGTGCTTGGGCCGGGAAAAATGCAGCTGAACTAAGGCCGGTCGTGAGACAGGAAATCTTCAAGCTGAGGGCTGGCTCTACAGAGACGATTGCTACCAGTCTCTGCTCTGTGAATTTGACATTTTTCTTGTAACAAGGTTTTAAAAGATATTGTTGTGGCTGTAAATTTGGCTAAATGTTTAAGAACCATTGCTGCAAAACCAAACCTCAATTTAAATCTCCAAAACATATGTAAAAGCTTGGCATAGCCCTGGATGTCCATAATGCCAGAGCAGAATCCCATGAGCCACTGGCCAGTCACCTTAGCTGAAATGTTAAGCTCAGGATACATGCAAGACCCTGTGTCAAATACTAAGCCATGGAGTAGCAGAGACAAACAGCAGACTTCTGGCTCCGGGCTCCATGTGTGCCCACGTGTGTATTAACGCACCTCTCGGAGATACTGTCTGCAAGCTGTCCTTATGTGCCAGAGCACCAAGACAAGATTTAAATCCTAGTGGAAGTGGAAGCCTTTGAGGTCATTTTAGTCAACAGCATGCTGACCAGCCTGAATCTGCTGATCACCCCTTCTGCGGAGTTCTAAAGAACCTGTGTATTTTAATTCTCTTGTCTGTGGTAGCCAGTGAAATAATCAGTGGAAAGGGAAAAAGAAAACGAAAACACAAAAATATCGATAAAATTTGACAATTAAAAGAACTTTAGCTTCAGTAACTCTATTGATAGATAGCTGCAAATTAACTTTACCAAGACAGTAATAGTGACACACTATAAGCAGATTTTCTCATCACAGACATAAAAAACAACCTCTCGATGCTCCTCTCTAATTGTCCTACAACCACACGTCAGCGACGGTGTCCTATGAAAGCTCACAGCAAAAGACAACGTGTACAAGTGCCATGAACACCACACTGAGGTTTCTCTGATACCCCCAAATGACCCCCAGGCTTACTGTTGTAACCAAGTGATTCCCTAAGGGACAGCTGTAATGAAAAACCAAATACATCTAATGAATTGCATTGCTTGGGGCTACTCAGAGTCCTGAGGTTTCTGGAGCCCTGGGAAAATGATCACACCCACACAGAAAGGCAATGAATGTGAGTGCAGTTCTTGCAGGCAGTAGCTCTGCTTCTCTCCACTGCCTGCCTCTTCCGATGGCTTCTGCCACACTGACTTGGATCTAACCCTTGAGCTTCTTCTTGCAGAAGAGGGGCTTTTTTTTCTGTCCTGCATTTCAGGTGAATTTTAGGGGTTCAGAGGTAGAAGATGCTACTTGAGAATAGGCCCATGTTATCAACTGGACCATTGTTCCACCTGAGTGTGTGTCTGTGTATGAGTGTGTGTGTATACATATGCATGTCTGTGTGTATGCTTGCATGCATGTGTGTGTGAGTGTGTGTATGTGTATATATGTATCTATCTATGTATAGTCTTGCATGGACATATGTCTGAGTGTGTGTGCATGTTTACATGCATGTGTGTGATAAAATAAACATATATTCTCTTTATTAAGAGAGTAAAAAAGGTGCTCTTGAGGGCAGAAGTGGGGGATAATGAGCTGAGAAAAACAGACCATAAAAAGCCCCTGCCAAGACTGTTACCTCATACTGAGCATTGAAATTACACCTGGAGACAGCAAAATCCAGTGCCTCACAAGCACAGGCCCAATACAACTTTCTCTTCAATAGTATTGAGTAGTAAAAGACAGGCAAGCATTCTAAGGAAATCAGAATGTTAGTACTGCAATTACAGTTAAGCTCAAATTATTCATGGTTATTGCACAAATAAGCAAAATTCACACATAATTTAAAACTTCAGGCATGGGTTTCCTGATCTTCTTCAGCAATTATTTCTTAGCATTGAGTATCAGCCAGGATTTATCAATTTGTAGTTTTGCTTCCCTCCCTCGTTCTGGTGTCTCTGTACAGAGGCGAGAAAAGCAGCAGATGGTGGTTGCCACAGAGGGCAGGGCTATGAGGGATCCAGGAGAGGAGAGGAAGATGGGGTAGAGGAGAGTGGGAGGAAGCTGCCTTGGGCAAAGGAGTTGGAGACAGGGAATTAGGTAAACAAACACAAGTGTGTGTGCGTTGTGTGCACAAAGTAGGTTGCTTTTCAGATAAACGAGTGAAGGATATTTATACTGCAATTCTCTTTAAGAACCACAGTGGCGAAGATTCTAAGTCACACACCATCTCAATACATCATTCTGTTGAGTGTATTGGATACTAATGTGCCATGTTCAAGATCACAGGGCCACTGGTATGTAAGGAGCTGTGCAGTCAGATTGGGGTCAATAGTCTGCTCTGTCTCTGGTCTCAGGGAGGAAGGGGAGCCACAGTTTCCAGTTAAGATCAAAATCCTGAAATTCCTGTATTTCTGTAGTGAAGACTTCCTCTTTAAGCCAAAAATCCAAGTTAGTCAATAGCAAACTGAGCTACATAGGAAGAGACCTAACAACGTCCTGGAGGATGATCCATCATTTCTCGGAGCCCTAGACCAACTAAAATAAAACAAGCACAAGGCAGTGTAGGCGAAATTAATGGGGCCTTATTGTTGGCTCATAATGATCAAAACCACTCAGCGATCAGTAAAAGATAACTCCGTTCACTTGAGAGCTGGCAAAAGGACTCAGAAAAGACTCACCATACCAGGCAGCAAACGTCGATGAGGCTGTTTTAGAGGACTCACCTGTCTTTCCCAGTTTCCTTCTTAAAGACTCCATCGCAGTAATTCATGCGCTCCTCTGTGGTCACATAAATCTGTGCACTTGGATAGGCATCTACTGTCTGTTTTAACATGTTGTACACAATGCCGCTTCCATCTTTCCTCATGTTGCGGAAAGGGCCCCAAATAACATAGATGGTAGTGCTAGCTTCATTGAAAAAATAATCAGGATTTTTTAGCAGCAGAGGAACACTGGTATGTGATACAACTCGAACCATTGTCATGTGGCCAACGTCTTCCTCAAAACCCTTGGTGGGGGCATTGTTCATTCTCCAAATGCAGGATGAGTGGTCTATTTCTTCACCCACCTTCTGTCCAATCATTTGACCTGAACTTGACACTATGGCACAATCGTTACATTCCAGTTGCAAAGGCTAAAAAAAGAAAAAAAAATGAAGAATATGGTCAAATGAGTTCTCCAGGAACCAAAATGTCGCATACTGAATAATTACTGAGTATGACATTATCTCTGATGCAGATCTGTTCTACAGTCTCTGCTACAGGTTATCAGGTTGGCAGTTTGCTTTTACATGACACGTAAATACATACTGTTGCGGATGGTTTGACTTCCTGAATATCTCTGCTAGTTTAAAATTACGTGGAAGAAGCCATTCCTTTTCTCTCTAAACGATACGTTTTATCAATTTAGACCCATAATTTCAAAAGAAGTAAGGAAATGTGAAATCACTGATTTCTATGATAAGGATCGTGGCACATACCTAGGCATGCAGGTTGGGCTTTGGTGATATGTAAGCATGGGTGGGTGGCAGCTGAAAATGGCATGAAGATGGCAGCAGCTGGCAATGCCCTGAAGAACACACACATTCCAGACCCACCGCAGACAGCTGACACATTACACTGATGCTTAAAACTCCCCAGGGCGTCTCACTAATGGGTCTCTGGATTACTCCGGCTTCAGGTGGACAAGGAAAGTCCTCTCTTGAGGACACCGAGAGGCATGCACAGTCTAAATAACTGCATGGAACCAACAGCGATTCAGAAGCGGAACACGATGCTCTGGACATGTAGTGAATATGAGGTCCTGTGGTGGAGCCACACCCACACTGCCTATATTTGCATCCTCTAAATTAGAACTTTTAAGCCTATATCTTCTAAGTCTAGTTCTTCTTTATTTTAGATTCATTTTGTCATTATTTATGTATGGATATGTGTGTCTCTGTGTGAGTATATTCATGCAAATGCCTACAGAGACCAGGAGAAGGAATCAGAGCCCCTGAGCTAGAGTTACAGGCTGTACCACCTACTGTGGGTGTGGGAACTGGACTAAGGTCCCCTGAAAGCGCAGAACATGTTCTTAACCTCTAAGACATCTCTCAGGCCCACAAACTCGAGATATTCCAGTTCACGTGAAAGGCTTAGCATTATTCTGTTTTTCTCAGCTCCTAAAATAACCACGCATATTACTTTTGCTATTTCTTTCCTACAGGAAGAAATTACTTCATCTTCAAAACAGAAAAAGAAAAAAACTTTGACAATATTCATGTTCCTCACCCACCTTCTATAAGATTGCTTCTTCTGATCCTAAGTTTGAACCAAATGTTTTTTGTGTGCACTGTAGAATAAATGGCTCCTCTCATACAGGTCCTGTCCTAACTTTGCTCCTGTCATATCTGCCATCTAGACAGTGAACTCTTGTACAAATAACATCTTTGCCTCGGATTTCAACAGAGGCCCCTGGGATATATTATTTGTTCAATTTGTTAAATTTGAAAAAAAAAATGGATTCCAAATAATCTATTAAGAGTCTGAACACTTTATGCCCTTTTTAAAAAATCCTTCAAGACCAATGGGTGGTTCCCAAATATTCTCAGATGTGGGTCTTCCACTTGACTTACAAAGGCCTACACTCATACAGAAAACTCTCCCTCCCTACCCAGCACCTAGTAACTGTTCACACTCCATTGCTACAGATGGGTAGAGAAGAGAAGTAGACCTAGGAAGAGCTGGAGAAACAGGGTGACTACTGTTTGACACATGAAACTCTCCAAGAACTAATTTTAAAAAAGAGTCTAAACACTGGGCTAAATAATAGGAAAGAAATGGACTTTCCCAGTTAGTTTAAAATTACTAATTTAGGTGGAAAGAAAAAAACAATCAAAAGGAACCACATGAATTCATCAGTAGGCTCAGTGCAGCTGTGGCAACCTAGGTAAGACAAGTGATTGGTAAAGCAACTTAGACAAGCCACCTGGACAGTCACCACACAGCTGCAACTGGTCACCTTTCCTCCATACAGCAGTTAGTAGGTGCCTCCCAAACAACAGGTCCAGTTCTGAGGGTTACAACTGAACTAGGAAGCCACAGGCAAGAAACCCTGATGGAATGAAACGTACATTTAAGATGTACTTCTGTACAAGCACTGAAAAACACGTATCAGCATCCTGTATAATACATTTGAAGGCGACGGTTCATGCAAGAGAAATTTGTCATGGAAACTGGAGGTGTACAGGTACACGTGAGTGTGTCTGTGTGTGCACTGGGTGGAATGGAGAGGTGCCAGAGGGCAATGCTGAGAGAATGTATGTGTGAGGTAAAAGCATGGCCATGAGGGGTTACAGGAGCAGAAACGACTCAGAGACATCAGCCAAGGCACTCCAGCATGCCTTGACAAAGCAAAAGCCACTGCAGTAAAGGCAGGGGACGGTGTGAAGAACAATGCACTCTGTAGAGCCCATGCACACAGCACATAGGTATGGGGGCCAGAAAGGCAGCTGCCATGCAACAGCCCACTCGGGTCCTTCGGATTCCAGTGCAATGGGGAGCTCTGACAAAAGAGGAGCCCGTGACCTAAGCTGTGTGAACTTTGCCCATTCCACATTAAGTTGAAGGCTGAAACAGGGAGAGCAAGCTATTGCTCGCACCAGAGAAGAAAGAGTAATGGGAGGACACAGAGAAGGGACGCAGGAGTGATGTGGGTGAATACAGAAGCTGACAACCTTCGGGCATATTCTGGGTTGCTCCAGGGACTGAACATGTGACAGGAGGTATGAAGGGGAGGAGAGAGTCAAGGGTACATCACATCACGCTTTCTGCCACAGACTCTAGAGGCTAGAACAGCCTCAAGCAAAGATAAAAGGAAAGTTCTGGGAATAAAGCCAGGGACGGGAACCAGGAGCTTGTTTCCGGAGCCGGCAGGTGGGACAGGGAGTAAAGAGGCAACAACACCTCTCACAACAAACATGCTCCTGCTGCTGTAAGTCTGTCCTGCCCCATTGTTGAAGTAATGTAGGCCCACCATGGAGAACTTGAAAAGTTAAAAAGAATAAAATTAAGTTATTCATATTCCCACCACTCAAAAATGGTCACAAATGTCTCACTGCATTTTCCTCTACGTAGGCAGGTTGAAAAGCACCAATTATACAATTTGGCAGCCTTGGCTTCCTTTCATTTCCATGATGATCTTTCCAATGTCAGTGAATAATCCTTGGAGATAGTTTTAATGCCTGCTCATTGTTCAATTATTTAGATATATCTGTTTGCCTACTGCTGGGTTTTCAGCTGTTAACCAATTTATTTTCTACTATGAAAAGTACTCTGATAAACATCTTTATACTTCTTGGAGCATTTTGGAGCCAGCAGTTAGGGTGTTAAACTTGTTTCCTTGGGTTCCCGTTTACTCCTGTAACATGTACAAAGGCATCTGTGTAAGTTGTCAAAACTAAGAATTAGAAAAAACACAACGTGCTGGAGCCACACAGGCCCGTTTGTGCGATGCCTTGGGATACTGCAGTCAGGGCTGCAGAGATGGCGCTGAGCCCTTCTCGCTCGTGCACAGAGCGTTGGCCTGGTGCTCAGCACACGTGGTCACTCACAGCCATCTGTACCTCTGACTCCAGGGAATCCTGCTCCCGATTGTGGCCTCTGTGGGCACTGGGCACACACATGGTATACATCTAAAGTACATGCATGCACATATACAATAAAAATAAATAAATGTGAGCAAACACCTCTGTGACCACAAGCGTGGTGACGGACGCCTGCAATCCAAGCACTTGAGAGGCAGGAGGATCATGAGGCCAAGGTCATCCTCAGTAAACTAGAGAATTTGACATTAGTCTGGGCTACCTGTTGCATTATCAAACAACTTTGTGAGGAAGAAATTTCCTTTCACCCTGATCAACTGCAGTAGGCAGCAGGTAGAGCAGACCCCGGTAGAAGAGTCCGTCCACCCAAAGTCAGTGAGAGCATCAGGCTTTCTAGGCCCGCTCCATCCCAAACACTTTATTAGATGAAGGCACAGTAAAGCGACTTCGGGAGTCAGGTGTTCTTCAAGGCACTGCTTTGCCATTTAGAAGTGTACATTCTTCCAGACGACGTGAAAGTGCAAAATCATTTCGCAGTTTTGGACAGGGCTTGCTATCCACTGCCCACAGCTAAGTCCTCCAAGCCCCTCATGAGCTGTGCGCCACAGTGCCTATCACACGACCCATGCATGTGGGCAGTGAGTCTCACTTCACTGACCATCCCAACAAGGTCTGCAAGAGGATAATGAAACCATAGTTAGGATCCAACTTGTACAGAACTAAAAACCAGGAAGAAAAGCCTTGAGTGTGTTCTGTAAAATGTAGCAATTTGCACTGGATTTCCCAGCCATTAGAATGAATTAGCAGTTCTGCTGTGACATGACTTAATTTAGCTAATAAGAATCAGCAGGCTGGTCTCACTTGACAACTGTAACCTCTGAAAGCGATCCATTAAGACATCCCAATCTGTTCTCCGACAACGTTGGGAAGCCACAGCTGTGCAGATTATGAGGTCAGCAGCTGGCCAGCAACTCAAGGGCCAATGGTGGGGACAACAGTTTGTTGTTTATGTGAAAAGCAAGCAATGCAGAAGAGGGCTCTCATTGCAGTGGCTGCAGACGACCTTTTTCCTAACCACTTCTTTTCATTGGTCACTGGGGGACAGTGTCACCATGGCTAGAGTCTTGAGAGTTTCTCATGTGTGTTACTGGTCCCAATCCTGCCTAGCTCTCTGACTTCCTGGGCGAGGTTCAGGGACACATGAGTGGACAGAAGCTTCGGGAGCCATTTTGAAGTGTGGTGGGAGAGCAGAGGCTGATAAATGAAAGCTTCTGACTTGGAACTGGAAGCTGCAAGGTGTCAGAAGACTTGGTCCCAGGGATGTATGCAGGTGTTTGGAAGATCCATCAAACTACTCTGATCCATGATCAAAAGGAAGAAGAGCCTAGGCACACATGGGTGATATGACAAGACCGCCTCACCTGGTTATCCCCTTTTCCTTCACGAGCTTTGTCCTCATGTCCTTGATCTCAGCTTTCTTTGGTAAATGCATTGCTGTTTCTTGTGTTCATTTATATTTGATTTGTGAGCCTTCAGTACAAATGTATTAC